GTGCACAAGGCGTGGGCGCGGGTTGTCGGGCATTTCAAAAGCTTGCCTCCACATCAGCGCTCTAGGTGGGTGAGGGGACCGATGTCCACGGCGATTTTGACTCTTCTTGAACGGGGATGGGACCCAGTATCACCAGTGTGCTGGATCATGGCAGACGGAACAGAGTGGAGGTTTCCTGAAGCAGGGTATTCGGACATCTCGGCTTTAAACGGCACCAAGCTTTTTTTCCTAGATTTTAACAGATCGTCGGAGAGGCTCGTGTGGGCCTCCGCTGAGAAGCATTTTTGTGGGGAAGGTCTTGGGCAAGGCATGGATGTTGTATCTCTGCAGCGGCTTCTGAAGCACCTGGAGCAGCTTCCACGCGGGCGCAGGCTCTCTGAGTTGTTATCGACGGTAGTTGCTGGAGGGTCGTGGCCGAGGCTCCGTCGAGCTGAGGCCTCCACCAAGGTCCAAGTGTGTGCGCTGTGTCCTCGCTGCAAAAGACGCAATGAGTCAGCTTTTCATCGAATATGGGAATGCGAGCACAACGTCAATCACCCTATCTACACCAAGTCGGACGAGGTATATATGCAAGCTGCCTCTCAACATGAGTCTGCTCCAGCGTACTGGCTCCGTGGAGCCATGCCAACACAGTGGACCGTGGTACCTGAGCCGCCTGATGGGGAGGCTTGGTTCCAGACGGGGCTCAACGATGGTGTTGCTGATGGAGTCCTAGGGCCAGGTGAGTGTGCCAGGCCAGTGCTGCTTTTTGGCGATGCCAGCGGCGGGGCGGATTCATCGGATGGGAGGCTCAGACGTATCGGTCTCGGTCTCGCGCAGATGGAAAGCGAAACGGACCTCCAGCTGCAAGTATCCCTATTTGGAGCCCTCCCAGGAGTTGTCCAGACGGTGCCCAGAGGTGAGCTGTATATCTTCTGGGTAGCCTTGCGGCTGACGGAACAATATGTAACGTATGTGACGGACAACCAGATGGTGCATGAAGGTTGGTGGTCTCAGAAATATCGTCATCCAACTGGAGAGCACGCAGAGTTGTGGGCGAAGATTGGGCTGTTGTTTCATAACACGGGACGGCGGCCTGAGCATGTGACAGTATTGTTTACGAACTCGCACATGGAGGCCGAGGACGTCGTGCATCGAGCGGGCTCTTCATGGATGACGGTTGGCAACGCAGCAGCGGACACTTTGGCAGGTGAAGGTGCGATCATCGCACGCATGCCCGAAGCTGTCCGCACTGACATTCTGGAAAAGGAGAGGGTGCTGTACCTTATCCGCATGAGGATTCTCAGGTCGCACCTCGACGCCGTGGAGGCCGAGAAGACGCTGCAGGAGAACCCGCCGAACGGTCGGCACCAGAGGCGAGGAGCTCGGGGACGGAGGGAAGCCGCGGTGATAGGTGAGCCTACTGCTGCTGCTGCTGCCGACCCTCCGCCCCCTCCCCCGCCTCCGTGTCAGAATCTTCTATCGGCTTTTGAGACGAGCCATGCCCTGTCTGAGTGTGGGCGGCGTTGTCTGCGGTGCCGCGGGTCCGCGTCTGTTGCGCGCGTTTCGGTCTGGCGTAAGTCTCCGTGTTTCAGGTTAGTTGCTCTTGATTGCTCCCTTCGTGCACTTCCTGAGGGGGCCACCATTCACATTGCTGGGGGGTTTGTGGACCCCACCCATTGTATGAGGTTTCACGCTGTTTTAATGCTTTGGTTTTGTGCGAGTTGTGGGATGAATGGGGACCAGCAGCTTTGCGGCCTCGGGAAGGCCTGTGTCCCCCGCCCCACCGCGACGAGGAGTGAATACCTTCGTTTGATTAAGTTGGGGCAATGGCCCAAAGTCTACAGTAAAGCTGAACTAGCTCGTAAAGCCCTGAAGGGGTGTAGGTGATGAGTGGAAGGACTACGTCCAGGGACTCCAACTCCAACTCCAACTCCTCCTCTTCCTAATATTCTCCCTCCTCTCCACCCATCCCTGCCCCTCTCCATTCCCACTCAGACCCCGCACAACTACAATGCGACAGTGCGACTACTACAGCAAACACTGTAGGGTATGATATTTACTGCACGACCTGAGTACTACTACTACTACTACTACTACCACTACTACTACTACTACTACTAATAATAATAATACTAATAATAATAATAATACAGCTACAAGACTGTTACAGTACTGTTCTCCGTCTTTTCCCAAGGCACAGAAGGGGGAGGGGGGAAGGGGGGCGCGAGGAGAGGGTGGGGAAGCGTGGGAAGACCGGCCCCAAGACAGGGCCTCCTCCTCATCCACCTCCGCCTCCGCCTCCTCCCCCTCCACCTCCGCCTCGAGCTTCGAGGGTGTCGGGGGGGGGGGGGGGGGGGGCAAAACAAAGAAATAAATTAAAAAATCTTGTTACAAGCAAGCGTTGTTTGTGTTTTCTTTTTTTTTGCCCCCCCCCCCCTCCTCTTCCTCCTCCTCTTCCTCGTCCTCTTCCTCCTCCTCTTCCTCCTCCTCCTCCTCCTCCTTACTGTTCTCCGTCTTTTCCCAAGGCGCAGAGGGGGAGGGGGGAAGGGGGGCGCGAGGAGAGGGTGGGGAAGCGTGGGAAGACCGGCCCCAAGACAGGGCCTCCTCCTCATCCACCTCCGCCTCCGCCTCCTCCCCCTCCACCTCCGCCTCGGGCTTCGAGGGTGTCGGGGGGGGGGCCAGAAAAAAAAGAAAAAAAACTTGTTACAAGCAAACTTTTTTTTTACCCCCCCGCCTCCCCCTCCTCCTCTTCATCCTCCTCTTCCTCGTCCTCTTCCTCCTCCTCCTCCTCTGCCTCCTCCTCCGCCTCCTCCTCCTCCGCCTCCTTCTCCTCCTCCTCCGCCTCTGCCTCCTCCTCCTGGGGAAGGGAGGGAGAACGAGAGAGAAAGAGAGAGAGAGAGAGGGGAGCGCGAGAAGAAAGAGGGCGGAGGATGATATAATGAAATGGTGAGTTTCGCAGGGGGGGGGGATTCAACCCCGAAACCGAAGTGAGGACCACTGGCGACGGAGAGAGGGGAGAGGGCAGTAGGGGAGGGGAGGAGAGGATGGGAAAACGAGAGAGGGGGGGGAGAACAAGTGGGACGAGGCACAGGCAAGGATCAGGGACACGTAAGACTCGAGTTCGCCAGAGTTTGGGTTTGCCGTCGCTTTTCGACGGCCCGCTTGTCATGGGATGTCTGCATCGGGGGTTAGTGTCGAATTTCAGACTGGGTCTCGTCATTTTCCTGACGGCCCCGTCAGGCCAACCTGAGTCCCCCGAACCCGAGCTCTACGTCTTCCCGAAAGGAGAGGGGCAGAGGTCGAGAGAGGGTCCGAGGGAGAGCGAGGGGGGAGGCAGAGGGAGAGTGAGGACAACTGCAGCGGGCTGGTGGAGGAGGGTTGACTTTGCCACAGGCCGTGAGCTATTGTTTCCCCCCCGCCTCGCTAGCGACGCCTAAGGCGCCCCTCGAGGGAGAGGGAGAAGCATGGAGGCGAGCTGAAAGAGAGGGGAGAGAAGTTGAGTGGAGGGAGGGGCTGGTGAGAGGAGCGGTGGGTGGAGGACGAGGGGGAGGAGGAGGCGGATCAGGAGGAGGAGAGGGAAAACGAGGTGGATGTGAAGCAGAGGCAGGCGGAGACTGGATTTGCGAACCAACGCTCTTCAGAGGTCGGTTCGCTGAAACCACTCGATGCCGCTCTTCTCCCTTCAGATTGGTTTTACTCCTGCTTCTCATTCCCTTCTTCTTCGTCGTGCACCCAAGACTCACGTCTGCTTCTTCTCCCCCTCCTCCCGGTGTGCCTTCGTCGCCTCCTTATCCTCCTCCCCGCTCCCCCCCCACCCTCATCCCCCGTCTCCTCCTGGCCAGGCGAGGCTGTTCGACGTCAACAAGCAGCTGCTCAGGCACGCAGCTCTTTCCCATGGACTGCTCTTCGATGCGCGAGCAGCGGAGGACACGCTTGTCTTTTTCATGCGAAGCGAGCGTGGTGCGTGTCTTGAGAGCGCCCGACTCGGACCGAGCGCCGAGGCAAGCCCACGAATGACGCAGGCAGAAGAAAAGGATCGCGAGCGCAGAATGGTGGCAGCAACGGGCGAGCCGAGAGCAACACACGGGACGAATGAGAAAGCGCCTGAACATGCCATCGTGGGCGACCAGGGCCAGCCCCCCCAGCCCGTGGCCTTCGGGAGCTTGGAGACGGGGGTCCAAGCAAGGGGGGGTCAGCCGGATCGCCGGATCTTGAAGCCAGGGTCGCACTGACCCGGGCTGGCGTGCAGGATGCTGCAGGATGCTGCAGGATCCGGCAGAGCCCCACCGACCCGGGCCTGCATCGACCCGGGCCAGCGCGTCCCCGAGACCGCGACCAGAAAGGTAGTTTCCTCCTCCTCCTCCTTCTTCCCCTCCTCCTCCTCCTCCTCCTCCTCCTCCTCCTCCTCCTCCTCCTCCTCTTCCTCCTCCTTGGCCCGCTCCAAGCGCAAGCGTGGCCGAGAAGCGCCCAGGACGATCCAAAAGGCCCCCAAAGACGGCTAAAGCCTAAGAGGGGCCCAGGCCCCCCACGGGGCCCTGGAGGGCGCGCAGGATGGCCTCCACAGACAAACAGCACTGAGGTTCCACATGCGGTTGCACGAGCTTGGCCTTCTCGCCTTGTCGGGCTTACGATAGCAAGGAGCACCAAGCATGTGAGCCTCCCAGATCGCCCCAAGATGGCCCAGTGCCTCCCCAAGAGGCCAACGTGGCTCAAGATAGCCCCAGGACTGCCCAAGAGAGCCTGAAGGCAGCCCAAGAGAGCCACAAGAGGCCCAGAAGTCGGCCCAAGACAGCCCGAGGACGGCCTAAGAGATGCCCAGGAGGGTCTCAAGACGGTCCAAGAGTGCCGTGACAAACCCCAGAATCGAATGAGGGCGGCTGGGGATCGTGTCCTCTGGGCCTTCGAACGCTGAATCTCCAATGTAAATCCGTAGTTGGCCACCTTGGATCAACCGACCACGCTAGTCACTTAGTCTGTTCCATATCGTTACGCTCTCTTTCGTATTTTCTTCGATCAAGATGAAGAACGCCGTTTTCGCGTTGTTGATGTTGCTAAAGCGCGTGGCATCTTTTCAACACTCCTTTGACGGTACCGCTCTGAGGCAGGAAGAGTCAGGCGGTTATGAGGGTAGGATCCCCTTTCAGCTTATCATGACGGCGAAGCAGGGGTCTATCGATGAGCTACCACCAGAGGTGCGAGAGAACGTTCGCAAGACGTTGAACCTGAACCCCGAACTGCGTGTGCGATTTCTCAACGACTCAGATTGCAGCGACTTCATTGCTTCCAATTTCGGATCTGATCTACATTCCGCGTACATCAACGAGAAGTACGGAGCTTATCGAGGCGATATCTGTAGAGCGGCGGTGGTTGCGCTCGAGGGAGGCTTTTACGCTGATTTAGACATGCAGTTCCGGGTTCCTTTCTCAGAAATGGTAGACGACAGTACAACTTTCATGAGTTCGTTTTCCAAGGATTGTGAGATTTTGAATGCTATTTTCGCGGCAGAGCGTGGCAGCAAGGTAATGCAGCGTGTTCTAGAGGAGATCAAGGGTTGGTACAATGGGAGTGAGCCTACCAACGGATTGATGGGTATTGTGACGATGATGCACGGGTTGCAGAAAGTGGTGCAGGAGGAGTGCCCAGGGGTAAACGTCAAGAAAGAAAGTTCTTCGGGGGCTGAAGTTCAATGTGGGCCTCACCAGAATTTCTTGCTCTACAGGGAGCAGCATTTCAAGTGCCAGTTGGGTATGGGCAACGATCGTCGTTACTTAGAGGCACATCCCGAGTGTACACCGGCGCGGGTCGCCAACAACTTCTTGGGCGCGCATTACGGCATCTTCAGGCCCACGAAGGGGAAGGTGCGTGGGCCTTTGCTGGCGTGGTCCCGATTCGACAATTGCACGGTGTGGGGCTGTGAGCAGTCAGGCAGGAGGGAGGCAGCACCGCTTCCAGTAATTTGTACCGTATAGCGTAATATATCTTCGGGGTAGGTTCGCGAGCGCGGGACGATCAACACATTCTAGACGCGTCGCGTATCCCCACCAGCCTGCCTTTGCCGCCTGACCTTTGTCTCGCGGCCGCGACCAAAAAAGTATCCCCACCAGCCCATCCAGAAACTATGTCCAGGCGAGTTGAGGTGATCAGGGAAGTGCGGGAGCAAAGAGGGGGACGGCCGAACCGTGGAGAGTAGGAGAAGGAGGAGACGGAGGAGGAGGAGGAGACAGGATGGATGGATGAGGGAGCGGGGAGAAGGAGGAGACAGGATGGAGGAGGGAGCGGAGGAGGAGGAGGAGACGTGGAAAGGAGTGAGGAGGAGAAGGAGGAGACAGGATGGATGGATGAGGGAGCGGGGAGAAGGAAACTGAATAGTATGATGATGATGATGATGATGAGGAGGAGGAGGAAGAGAAGAAGTAGGAGGAGGAAGGAGGAGCAAGAGGAGGAGGGCAAGCAGAAGGGCCAGAGGTCTCTTGGATGCCTCTCGGAGTCTCTTGGGACATCTCTTGGGCGCTTCTTGGTGGCCTCTTGGGACGTCTTGTGGATCTCTTGGCGGTCCTGGGGGGCTCTTGGGCGTCTTGGGTGCCTCTGGGGGGCCTCTTGGGGTCCTCTTGGGGGCCTCCTGGGGGCCTCTTGGGGGCCTCTTGGAGCCATCTTGGGGCCATCTTGGGGCCTCTCGGGGCCTCCTGGGCGCTTCTTGAGGCTATCTTGGAGGACATTGATTCAAGAAGGGGGGGGTCCTCAATTACGGTTGCCCCCCAAGAGGCCAAAATGGTGCCCAAATGGGTGAAATGAATGGTTTTGGCTTCCTCGCCGAGGCCGTTTTGGACGCCCTGACCGCTCACGACCGGCCCCGCCCAGGTCCAGGGGAGGGGGGAAGGGGGCGGGGTCAAGCTACCCACCCGCCCGCAAGCCGTCCAGCTCCCTCCTACCCGCCCTCCCAACACATGAGTAACAACCGAGCCTGAGCACGTGCAGCGGTCGTCTTTGGATGCGTTGGGAAGCAAAGCCGCGAGGTGCGCCACGCGTGCCAGGGGCGCCACGCGTGCCAGGCACCCCTGGGGCCCGAGCGTGCCGGGCACGCCTGGTGCGCCGGATGCGCCACGTGCTCCGAGTGCACCAGGTGTGCCGTACACTCCAGCCGCGCGATGTGCGCCATGTTCGGGGCACGTGCAGAGTGCGTCAGGTGCGCCTGCGCACGTGACAGCACATATCGGGAAACATGTCGGCCCCCGCCATCCTTGTCGAAAACCAATGCTTGTCATTGTGTCTAGTGGGCCTGCGCACAGCAGGCCATGCGCCACCACCCTAGCCGTCCCTGTCAAAAACTGTTTGACAGTGATCGCGGGATGGCCGCGCATGATCCAGATTTAGCCGCGAGGTGCATGTTTTATTGTTTTTGTCAGGGATGGTAGCCCTGCGCACGGCATGGAATATGACGAATATGATTCAAGATTTTGCCCCAACATGTATTTTGCATTGTTTTTTCCCAGGGATAATTGGGGGGGCGCATCGGGTTGGCCACGCATGCTCCAAATGTGGAGGCAAAGTGCGGTTAGCATTGTTTTTTGAAAGGGATGACGGAGGGCGGGGCGTCATGGTGTCCTCATGGTTCCTGGATGGACGCCGGTCGTCTGGTGGAGGGGGCGCGTATCAATAAGGAATAGTGATGAACCCCTCCCCGAAGGGGAAGCAGGGGGTTGGAAGAGGAAGCACTCTAGACCACCTTACGCCCTAAAGGGCCGGTGGGATTCTGTACACTCTGATGCCTGTGGCACGGTGGAGGATTCGACCTTGCCTTATCAGCCCGTGCAGCGGGGGACCGTCACGGGGGCCCCGTGCCGCGACCACCACCGCAGATGTGGGCCTCGGGAGCCCGCCCCGATCCAAGCGCGGCCAAGAGGCGCCCAAGGCAGCCCGAGAGGCCCCCGAGACGGCCTCCGACTGCCCGAAGACGGCCCAGGAGAGGCCCCAAAGGGCCTCGAGATAGCCCAGCCAAGAGCGCTCCAAGACAGCCTAAAGTGGCTTCATAATAACCAGAGAACGGCCCCAAAGGCCCCAAGACGGCCCCGTCGATGACACCAGCGCGAAACAAGGCGACGCTGACGACTCCATTGTCGTGGCCCCTCCACCCGCTGGCGTGACAGCACGTGCGCCTTGTGTGCAACCCCGAAGTTCGGCTCAATGATATTTGCATTTCAATGGTGCACGCCCTGGTCGCCCGTTTGTGTTCCAACATGGTTTTGGGCAGAGCATCTCTTCGGCTGGAGCAGGAGAGCGGCCAGCGCCGCGGTGAGAACTCCCGCGGGCTGGCCATGATGCACTGCCTGCGCGCCTCTTTCTGCTGGTGGCGCGGTCACTTCTGCCACGGCGGAGCGGCTTCTCGCTCTGCGCGCTGCCAAGTCTGGCCAGCACGTCAAGCTTTCTGTCTGTTGACCCCGCGAGGGCGCCGCGGTGAGGGCGGGTGGCCCAAGACGGCCTGAGACAGCTTGAAGAGGCCTGAGAGAGGCCTAACAGGGCGTCGAGACGGCCCAAGAGCGCTCCAAGAAGGCACAGTATGATCTCGAGACGGTCCACTGCGCTCGCAAGACGCACCCCAAAAGGGCTCGGAAGCCGTCCCGCCCAGTCTTGGAAGCAGTGGAGTACCGTGGAGGGTCCCAGTGGGGCGCCGATCCGCCCAGAAGACGTCGGGAGGGGGGTTGGATGCGCGCCCCTGTGCGCGATCGGGAGGCCGGGGGGGGGGGCGTTAGAAGATTCACAGCAGCCCCACCAGCCACCGCGCCTTCACGTGCCACGGGGGCGTCGGTGGCGGATGCTGGACCGAGCAAGTGTGGACCAATCGCCCACTCATGGCCGATAGGGGCCCCGCCCACCCCCGCCCAGAGGCGTGCGGGCTCATTGTCGGAGGCCTATCGCCGATCTGTCGGCGATGTGTCGCCGATTCCAGGTCGATCCATTTTCGCTGTCACCCCTACTTGGGGCGGGGAGGAGGGCCATTTCAGGAGGAAAAGAAACACACAGACACAATGAATCGTCGATTCCCCAGAAAATATGGGAAAATATGGGAAGTGGGGGGGAAGACAGAGGCCCAGAAAATATAGGAAAATATGGGGAATATTTTTATTTGTGTGTATTTATTTGTGTGTCCCAGTGCCCCATTCACATATGGGTCGCACTGTGTTCGACGGTCCTCGCAGGCGGGCGCAGGGAACGGGGGGCGGTCGGCGAGAGAGGATGGGGTTCAGAGGTTGGCGAGTCGAGACAACGGTAGTCGGCCTTCGGAGGGGCTCCTCGTCGCCACGTCTGGACGCAGCTCGAAGAATTGCTGCTTCTGGACCTGGGGAGGGGTCCTTGGACCGATTTTGAGGTGCCCTTGTCTCAACTCGCCCTGCTCCAACGGGTGGGGGCGTGGGGCTCGGTGCAGCGAGGGCCAATCCCTCCAGGCACCGGCGAGTGGCAGCCATCCGCCTGCCAATTTGGAAGGCATCTCCAAGCACTGTCTCGTTCCAGTCAGTGAGTCGTCACTGCTGGTGAGTCGCACGCTTGGGGCAGCAGACATGGGGGGGGACTCCGGGGGGCGAGCTGACGCGTCAAAGGAACAACATGCAGAGGCATGACAAGTGCAGTGGAACAGCAGGTGATAGAAGAGGACTCGAGGGACCTCCAGATCATCAGCTCATCCGATGCCCGACGACGTCCGAATGTTCCTCGTCGTCGTCCTCCTCCTCCTCTATCCTCCTTCTCCTCCTCTATTATCCTCCTCGATCCTCCTCCTCCTGCTTCTCCTCCTCCAGCATCGTCCTTGCCACTCCTCCTCCCCGATCGTGCTCCGCCCTCGTGCGTGCCAGCGCGTGGATGGTTTTCAACTTTACGCGACGCGCCCTCCTTGGCCCCGGCACCGGGGAGCCTCCCGGGAGGCCGCCGCGAGCACGCAGTCTTTGCGAGCCGGGGCTCGCCGAGGCGAGGCATCGCGGTGCGCGCACAGCCCGCCATGTTGCTGCTGCTCCTAGGCTGCCCTCGAGGGCGCCTCTCACCCGATGTCCGGTGCAGCCTCCTCCATTCTCTCCCTCCTCCCTGGTCTGACGAAGAGGGGGGAGGCAGGGGAAGGAGAGGGGTACGACATCTTCTGCCTGCAGCTGGTTTCGGCCCCCACCAACGTGAGCCGATTCGCCCCCCCCCCCCGCCCCTTTGCTGTTCCCCCTTTGGTCCGTCCCGATCCCCGTCCGTCCCTGTCCTCATCCTCCTTTCCTGGGCCTTCGGGCTCTCCCCCCCTCGTCGCAGGGACCGATGCGGAGCGGATCTGGCTGCGCAGCCCGTGGTCCTGCTGATCGCCTCTCACCTGCCTAATATTAAGTCGGGCCTGTCCCCCTACAGGGGGATGTTCGACGAAAAATAAAGAATACACCAAAAATAATCAAAAAATGCCCCAAACATTGTCTGGGGACAATTTTTTTTTTGTTGCTGCCTTTTTGGTGCATTTGGGGGGTATTTTTATTTGTTCTTCGAAAATTCCCCTGTAGCTGGACACGCCCGACATAAGCCTAACACGTCCTCCTGCGCCTCCCCCTGCTTCCCTGGGCTTTCGGGCCGCCCCTCCGTCGGCCGGCACGTCCGACGGCGGCCCGGAAGATTGGTCAGGACGGTGCCGTGGAGTAATCAGTCCGTGGACCGATGCGGAGCGGATGCGGCCCGGAAGACTGGTCAGGACGGTGCCGTGGAGTAATCAGTCCGTGGACCGATGCGGAGCGGATTTGGCAGGGAGGGGGACGGCGATGCCTCCTCCGTCCTCCTGTTCCTCCTTCCCGTCCGCGCCCAGATGTTCCGAGTCTGAGGCTCGGAGCAATCAGACAAGTTTGCATGAACATAAATGTTCGAATGTCTGCGTGGGGCACTCATGGAGGCGGATCTGGCGCCGCTCTCGGCTCGCTTCGCGCGCAGCGCCGATCCAAGAAATCTGCACGGACCTTCGAGAGTTGATGTTTGAGCAGCTGTTGCTTCTCCAGATGGAGGCTTCTGGAAGGGCAGACTTCCAGTCGCTTTATCGTCGCATCCTCGTCCGCGTCGCTCGCACGAACGCGTTGGCCGAGTGGAAGTTTGAATTGACCAGTTTATCACGGGACCTTCTGATATGCATTCCACGGGTGCACACCCAGGTGGCCCACTTGTTGCTAGACATGCTTGCTTTTGGCAGAGGGTCTTCGGCAGAGGCAGGAGAAGTGCCAGCGCTGCGGTGATGATTCCCGCGGGCTGGCGACGATGCATTGCCTGCTCCCCTCTTTGTACTGGTGGCGTGGTCACTTCTGCCACGGCTGAGCTTCAGGCAGCAGTGGAATCGATCGCGTCTCGTTGCACGCCTTTTTTTGCACGGTTGGCTTCTCGCTTTGTGCGCTACCAAGCCTGGCCAACACGTCAAGCATCTGTCTGTTGCCACCTTGAGGGGGCGGGGGAAGAGGCCCCGCCCAAGGCGGCTTGAGCCGGAGAGGGACCAAAGAGGGCCTAAGAGAGACCAAATAGGGCCTCAAGGCGGCCCAAGAGCGCTCAAGAGGGCCCAGGAGGAGGGAGGGAAGGGGGAGGGATGGGAGGGAGGGGAACGGTGGAGAAGGCGTGGAAAAAGGAAGAAGGAAGACCACGAGGAACGGCCAGGACGTAGCCACAGCACACTCGAGTAATTCGCTTCCAAGTGACCGCACATGCTCCGCCTGCTGGCGTGGTAGCGCGCGGCATCTGTTTCAACGCAGCGCTCCCGCGACTTCCTCCCCCTCCTGACACCCCTCCTGCCCCGCGTGACCGCACTGGCTGCGCTTGCCGCTTGCCGACGCGACAGCGCTTGCCGCTTGTTCCAGGGCAGCGTGATAAAGAGCAGCTACAGTCAACGCGCATAGTAAGGACGAACGACTTTTTCAAGGGTACCCTTGGGTCCTTGACTGCCTCAGCCTCTGCGGCCCGTCCCTAGCAATTTTCGCAGGCCAGTTTCTCAGGTTCCCTGGGGGTTTGGCCTCCTGCGGCCCAGAATACTTCAGCTTCGGCCTCCAAGGGTCTTGCGTCCTTGCCACGCGTCCTTACTATACGTTTTCACTGTAGAACTCGTTCGTTGTTCATCCATGGCGTCGGCCATCGTCCTTCTCCTGCAGCCCGTATCATCTCGTCAATAACAAAAGAAGGCCCCACGACTGGCCAAAGACGGCCGAAGTTGGCCACGATGTTAAAGACAACATCAGTGCACCCCCAGACGCCCCAAATGGGCCCTCAAGACGGCTCCAGCGCTTCCCGAGATGTCCGCATGGCCCCCAGATGGTCCCGATGTTGGTCAGGAGCCGCCTAGAACGGTCCGCGGGCGCCCGAAACACATTACCAAGAGGCCCCGAGCTCCCAACATGGATTTGCGGTGATTGTCCTCAGTTCTTTGGTTAGTGGGATTGATACATACTCGCATGTGGGGCTGTCGGGGTGTTCCAAGCAATTCTGCAAGCCCCCAAGATCGCTCCGATCCAGGAGGGCCCAAAGACGGCCCAGGCTGGCCCCAAGCGGCAACCCGGGACGCCCCCGCAGCCTCCGAGATAGCGCCGAATACGGCCCGGGGGCGGATGAGGAGCATTCCCTGGAGACCCCCAACTTCTAAAAACAAGTATGTTCCAGCATTCCCCGAGCAGTACTTGCACTCAGGGGTTTCCCCTTGCGTTCTAGGGTAACTGGGCCCCAGTGGCGGACCGGCCGGGTCGTCGCCGCCCGTCCCCGCCGTCGCCGTTGGGCACCAGTGGCGGTCTGGTTGGCTCGTCGCCGCCCGTCGCCACGTTGCGTTACGTTGATGTGCGTTCCTGCGCATTGCGTGGCATTGCTTTGCCTTGCCTTGCGTTGCGTTGCTTTGCTTTGCATTGCTTTGCGCTGCGTCGCATTGCTTTGCACCGCTCTACCCACATATATTGCGCCGCATGAGGTGCACTACCTCGATTGGACCACGTATGTCCAGTTGCCTGCGGCAAGTTCCGCCACCGTGCCAGCCCCCCATTCTCGGTTGCAGTTGCTCGCGTCGATGAGGCTCGGCTTGGTTCGACGTCATGAGGCCGTCTTGGAGTCAATTCAAACGATTTTAGAGGCATGTCCTGCCGTCTTCGCAGCTCGTATAGCCTTCATTGACCGTCTTGGCAGCCTTCGTGACCCCCTGGGGCCTCCAGGAGCAAGGGTGGTGCACTCGAGGGCACGCTGGGTAACATTAGGCTTTGCCCAAGGGCTTGCATACCTGCTTGTGAAAACCGTTAGGACCAGGGCTCTTCGTCCGAGGCAGCCCTCGACGTTGCCAGGGGGTTCTCGGGGCTTCTCGGCGTTGCCCGCCAAGCAATGCAACGCAGCGCCAAGCATTGCCTGGCAATTCTAGGAGCGCCAAAACATGCAAAACAATGTTCACCATCTCAGAACAATGCAACATGTTGATTGCAAGCAAAGCCAAGCTCCACAAGAGCAATGAATGCCAAGCAACGCCAAGGAATGCTGAGGAGTGTCAAGAAAGCTGAGCAATACAGAGCAACGCCACGCGAATGCCAAGCAATGCTCAGAATCGCCAGGCGAATGCCAAGGAATGTCAAGCAATGCCAAATCACGTCAAGCAGTATTAAGCCATGCCGAGCAATGCCCAGCAACTCTAAAGCAAATGAAGACCGAGCAATTCAAAGCAATACCAAGCAATGCTTTGCATTGCATTGCCGTGCTCAGAACTGATGTGACTTGATTTGGAGAGAAGAAGGCCTCTATTTGGGGCCGCGCCGGGTTCATTGTGCATTCGGCTGATTATCGAATATTTTCGCATGCTCGCTTGTTCAGCATCCACAGTGCCCAAGACAGCTCCAGAAGGCAAAATCGCTTCCAAGCGGCCCCCAGGACGGGCCCAAGACGGCCCAAGCTGGCCCCGAGACACAACTGGAGCGGCCCCAAAGGGGCCCAAACCAGCCCAAGATGGGTCGCATATAGCCCCAGTGCGACCCCAGGAGACCTCAAAGAGGACTTTGACGGGCTCAAGCCCAACGACGGCCCACGCAAAACGGCTCCAAGAGATTTCTAAGAGGTTTTTGGACACGTCTCTTTGTTGCGTCCCCTCACACGTTCCTTGGTCCCCTCAGACCGCCTTCAATCCTCCACTGAAGCACCCCAGATAATCTTCCATCCTATCCCAGGTAGCTTCCTGCCACCAACGTCCTCCCGCCTTCCTCTCCCCCTCCCCTCTTCCCGCATCGTTTCCCCTCCCTCCCCCTGAACATCCCTTTTCCTTTTCGTTGCATCCTCCCCTCTCCCTCTGACCTCTACCCTCCGCACACATACACATCTATGTGTATGTACACACCTGTACATACACATACATATATGTATATGTATATGAATATGTATATATATATAGATATACAAATGTGTATATACAAACATATGTATATATCTATTTTTCAATTTACCGCATTTTTGCAATCTGGGACCCTGCGCCCCCCCCCGCCGAAACGGGATCCCTGGCGTCCAGGGCTCCTGGACGCCCCTCCAGAGGGTCCCGCGAGATTTTCGGGCCTCTAGAATTCCCTGCCAAGCCGTGCAAATGGCTCGGCGGCGGCCCCAAGATACCCCCAAGATGGTCCAAGATGGCCTCCAGCGGCCTCAGACCCCCGCCAGATGCCCGAAGACGGTCCAAATATCACCCCCAAAAAATGCTGATACGCAGAAGAGGTTGACGTTCCGTTGGTTTTTCCCAGCCAGCTTGTGGTTGGGTGTCCCTTTTGAGGAGACAGCGCCCCGCGTCCTTCCCTCTGGCCTCCTCCTCCCCCCTCCTCTGTCCTCCCTCCCTCCCAGTACAGTGTTTGGATGCCCCATAGGGAGCTCAACCGAAGGCCCCAGTGGCTGCACTCGCATCCGCCTCCCCCACCCAGTACAGCGTTTCGGGGCCCCACAGGGAGCTCCACCGAGGGCCTCAGTGGCGACATCCTGTCCGCATGCGGTTCCCCTACCCAGTACAGCGCTTCGGGGCCCATAGGGAGCTCCACTGAACGCCTCAGTGGCGGTGTCCGCATGCGGTTCCCCCACCCAATACAGCGTTCCCTCCGCCGACGGCCCCAGTGGCGGTGCTCGCATGCGTTCCCCCCGCCCAGTATGGCGCTTCGCAGCCCCATAGGGAGATCCACCGAAGGCCCCAGTGGCGGTGTTCGCATGCGGCTCCCTCACCCAGTACGGCGCTTCGGGGCCCCTATAGGGAACTCCTCCGAAGGCTTCAGTGGCGGTGTCCGCATGCGGTCCCTTTCCCAGTACAGCGTTCCGGGGCACCACAGGTTGCTCCACCGAAGGCCTCAGTGGCGGTGTCCGCATGCGGTTCCCCCACCCATTAGCATGCAGTTCCCCCACCCAGTACAGCGTTTCGTGGCCCCCTAGGGAGCTATACCGAAGGCCTCAGTCGCGGTGTCCGCATGTGTTTCCCCACCCAGCACAGCGTTTCGGGGCCCGATAGGGAGCTCCACCGAAGGCCCCTCACACGCTTCGCGTCCCCACAGGAGAGCGTTTCTTTATGTTCGGCGATGACGGGCGTCATGGGGGGGGGAGACGGGGGGTGGTATGACGTAACCCCCACCCCCGCCGTATGGCTCCGGAACCACAGCCGCGCCCGCGCGCACGACGCGACGAGCGACGAGCGACGACGACGACGAGGACGATGCGAGCAACATGTCGGTGGCGATCTGCCCCACTGCGCCTGTGTACACACCGCTCGCGTACACCGCAAAAACCGTGTGCAACGCAGCGCACGTGTACACCAAAGTGCTTGCGTACACCCGGTGTACATGTGCACACCGCAGCAACCATGTGCAACAGAGCGCTTGTGTACACCACAATGCTTGCGTGCACCGCAGCGTCTGTGCACGCCACAGCGCCTGTCTACACTACAGCATCCGCGCGCAACGCAGCGCGACTGTACACCACAGTGCCTGCGTGCAGGACGTTGCTGATCATCGAATGCGACGTTGTTCCCTCTTCCCTCCTCCTCCACCTCCACCTCCACCTCCTTTTTCTCCTCCTCTTCCTCCTCCTCCTCTTCCTCCTCCTCCTCCTCCTCCTTCTCCTCGTCCTCCTCCTTACCCCCTGTCGTGCGGGGTGGTGCTACAGCGCACGTGCGCAATTCAGCGCCCAGTGCACCGTATAATGGTCTGTAGAATCGGTCCACTTGGTTCTCGCACGGCCAATTTAGCTGGAGCCTCCTGGACGCAGATGGGAGAAGTTAGGGTGATGCGGGCGGACTCGGGATTAAATCGTAGATTCCAGCGGCGCTTCTTTGTCCATGACGATTCCTTGTATTGTTTTCTGTGGAATTCACAAGCGTTTCATTTTTGTCATAAGGATTCTTTCTAAAACGCAGGCGCCGTGGTGTACACAGCCACTGCAATGCACGCAGGCATCATGGTGTACACTTGTGCTGTGTTGCGCACGGCTGATGTGGTGTACGCAGGCGCTGCGGTGTACAAAACAGCTGTTGTGCCCGCG